TCTACAGTCTGAATATTTGACGGTGAAAGATCCACTAGATTTGTGGAATGAATTGAGGGAGAGATTTGGGCACTTGAAATATATCACTCTCCCCAAAGCCCGACATGATTGGCTTAACCTGCGGTTGCAGGATTTTAAAACTGTTACAGAGTATAACTCTGCTATTCATCAGATTACATCTCAGTTGAAACTCTGCGGAGAATTACTGAGAATGATAAATTGGAGAAGACTCTCTCTACCTTTCATGCTTCGAATGTTGTGCTGCAACAGCAGTATCGTGAGAAAAACTTTCAAAAGTACTCACAGCTCATTGCATGTCTTTTATTAGCTGAGCAAAATAATGAGTTATTGATGAAAAATCATCAGTCCCGGCCCACTGGTTCCAGTCCGTTCCCTGAAGCGAACGTGACATTTTCTGAACGAGGCCGAGGACGTGGTAGAGGCCGTGGACGTGGTCGCGGTCGTGAGAGTCAACGCGGTCGATATACTCCTTACAATCGCCGCAGTTTTGACGTTAACAGGATGCAGAGTAAACCCCAACATGGGGATATAGCCGAAAAGGCTAAACAGGGAAAGAGGCAGATCGGCATTTGTAACCGGTGTGGCATTGAAGGCCATTGGGCCAATACCTGCTGAACAGCCAAACACCTAGCCGATCTTTATCAAGCCTCACTGCAGAAAAAGGGGAAGGAGGTTGAGACTAATCACGTTGATAACAATGACGACCCCGATGATGATCTTTTGGATTACGACACAACGCATCTTGATATAGCAGATTTTGTCGTAGATCCAGCAAACCCCCAGTGATAGACATATTATGTCAATTTACATTATGTTTTGTAATATTTAAATTATCGCATATTACCTTTTTGTAATGTATTTTGTAATACATATATCTGCCTTTATTAATATTGCGTTTACTTATATTTGAAGGTTAAATGAATGACAATCAAAATGATGCAAATATGTGTTTCATTGACAGTGCAACGACACATACTATATTGAAACACGAAAAATATTTCTCCCATTTGAAAAGGGAAAGAATGAATGTCAATACAATAAGTGGCAGTGCGAAATTAATTGAAGGCTCTGGAGAAACCATTATATTTCTCCCCACGGGAACAAAAATTGTGATACAGTATGCACTGTTGGCCACTAAAGCTCGAAGAAATCTACTGAGCTTTCATGACATCCGGAAAAATGGTTATCACATTGAAACTATGAGTGATACCGATGGTGAATTTTTATTGATCACCAATATCATTGATAAAAAGGAAATGCATCATTGAGAGATTACCCTCACTCTCTACTGGCTTATATTATGCCAGATTAGGTGTTGTTGAAACACACCTCACGGTAGATCAAAAGACTACCGATTTTCAAATATGGCATGATCGCCTTGAGCATCCTGGCAGTATAATGATGAAGCGAATAATTGAGAATTCGCATGACCATTCATTAAAAGATCAAAAAGTTTTAAACTCAAATGAGTTAACATGTATTGCCTGCACTCAGGGAAAATTGATAACCAGGCCATCGCTAGCTAAAATAGGTATTGAATCACCTACATTTTTGGAAAGAATACACGGGGATATATGTGGACCAATAGCCCACCATGTGGGCCATTTAAATATTTTATGGTGCTTATTGATGCATCTACCAGATGGTCACATGTTTGTTTATTATCTACTCGCAATATGGCATTCGCGAGATTGCTTGCCCAAATTATTAAATTACGGGCACAATTCCCCGATAATCTAATTAAGACTATACGTCTGGATAATGCTGGTGAATATACATCGAATGCATTTGATGATTATTGCATGTCGATTGGAATTAATGTAGAGCACCCAGTTGCTCATGTTCATACACAAAATGGCCTGGCAGAATCACTTATTAAAAGATTGCAATTGATTTCTAGACCATTACTGATGAGGTCTATGTTGCCCGTTTCAGCTTGGGGCATGCAATCTTACATGCAGGAACACTTATAAGAATGAGGCCGACAAGCTATCATAGCTATTCCCCAATGCAGTTAGTATTTGGTCACGAACCAAATATATCTCATCTACGTATTTTTGGATGTGCTGTTTATGTTCCTATTCCATCCCCCAAATGTACAAAAATGGGTCCTCAATGTAGATTGGGCATTTATGTCGGATATGAATCGCCGTCAATTATAAAATATCTTGAACCTATGACGGACGATTTATTCACTGCAAGATTTGCAGATTGTCATTTTGACGAATCATATTTTCCGACATTAGGGGGAGAAAAAAACGAACCGAAAAGGGATATTAATTGGAAAGTCCCATTGAATTTTTGTGATCCTCGTACAAAGCAGTGTGAACTAGAGAGTTCAACGCATTATACATTTGCAAAATATTGCAAATCAGTTACCGGATGCATTAAATGACTCGAGCAAAGTCACTCGATCATATATCCAAGCTGCTAATGCTCCGGCTAAAATAATTGTCCCTGATGGACAAATTGCAAGTGCTAATGAATCAGCGACACGCTTAAAACGTGGTAGACCACTCGGTTCCAAAGATAAACACCCTCGAAAGAAAAGAGGAATTAATGATGATAATCATGAAAATATCAGGAATGACATTGATAAACCTCAATCTAACGAGGAAGTCAACCCTGAAATAATTGCTCCAGAAGAGCACGGTCTTGAAGAACATGATGAGATTATTGAAAACTCAATTAACTATGCTACTTCAAGAAAATATTGGAACCGTAAAGAGACAATTATTGATAATGCCTTCGCATACAGTTTAGCACTTGATATAATGGAAGAAAACGAGGATCCAAAGCCAAAATTGGTTCATGAATGTCAGCAAAGAAATGACTGGCCAAAATGGGAAAATGCGATTCAATCAGAGCTTGGCTCATTAAACAAAAAAGAGGTCTTCGGACCAATTGTTCAAACACCAGATGGTATAAAACCAGTTGGATACAAATTGGTGTTTGTACGGAAAAGAAACGAGCATAATGAAATTGTGAGATATAAAGCCCGTCTTGTAACTCAGGGATTCTCACAAAGACCTGGAGTAGATTTTGATGAAACATACTCTCCGGTTGTTGATGGAATATCATTTAGATACCTTGTGAGCCTAGCAATGCAAGAAAAGCTCGATATGCATCTTTTAGACGTAGTTACTGCATATCTTTATGGCTCATTGGATACTGATATTTATATGAAAGTTCCTGAGGGATTCAATATGCCTGAAGCATACAAATTAAACCCAAAGGAATCATATTCCATCAAATTGAAAAATTCATTGTATGGACTTAAACAATCAGGACGAATGTGGTATAACCGTCTCAGTGACTGCTTAATAAAATAAGGTTATACTAATGATCCAATATACTCATGCGTCTTTATATAGAAAAATGGATCAAAATTTGTCATTATTGCTATATATGTTGATGATATCAATTTAATTGGAACTCCTGAAAAGATCCAAATTGCAGTTGAATATCTAAAGAAAGAATTTGAGATCAAATATTTTGGAAAGATAAAATATTGTTTGGGTTTACAAGTGGATCATGCGGACCAATGGAGTATTTATCTATCAATCCACATATACCCAGAAGATATTAAAACAATTTTATATGGATAAATCTCACTATCTGAGTACACCAATGGTGGTCAGATCTCTTGATCCCAGTAAAGATCCATTTAGGCCAAGAGAAGAAAATGAAGAAATACTTGGCACCGAGGTACCATATCTCAGCGCTATTGGCGCATTAATGTACCTTACAAATTGTACCAGACCAGATATATCTTTTTCAGTAAATCTACTTGCCAGGTTTAGCGCATCCCCCACAAAGCGCCATTGGAATGATATCAAACACATTTTTCGTTATCTTCAGGGAACTCATGACCTCGGTTTATTTTATTCGAGTAAATCTCAAAATGAATTAATTGGTTATGCTGATGCTGGTTATCTGTCTGATCCACACAAAGCAAAATCTCAAACTGGCTATTTATTTACCTGTGGTGGAACCGCAATATCTTGGAGATCTAACAGCAACTTCTTCAAACCATGCTGAGGTTTTAGCAATTCACGAAGCCAGTCGTGAATGTGTTTGGTTGAGATCTATGACCCATCATATTCAGAAAAATTGTGGATTGATTTCTGATGATGTATTACCTCCAACAATATTATTTGAAGATAATGCAGCTTTTTGTATAGCTCAATTAAAGGGAGGATATATTAAAGGCGATCGGATAAAGCACATATCTCCGAAGTTCTTTTTCACTCACGATCTTCAGAAAAGTGGTGAAATTGATGTGCAACAAATTCGATCGTCTGAAAATTTTGCAGATTTATTCATGAAGGCGCTACCGATTGCAACATTCAACAAACTGGTGCAAGAAATTGGAATGCGTCGGATGGGGAGCGCATTAATACAATAATGATGTACTCTTTTTCCTTCACTATGATTTTTTCCCACATGGTTTTTTCATTGTAAAGTTTTAACGAGACACATTCTTTGTATAAAGCATCAAAGGGGGAGTGTTACTTACGTTATACACACGTAGTGTATATGTGGATGCAACATAGCCCATTTCGTGCCAATACTTGTATTCACTCCTACCTATAAATATGGGTTTCATGTTTCACTTAATGCAATTCGAAAGAAAATTTTATCTACTCTGTCTACTCTCTCTCACTCTTTTCCATAGACTAATACATATATATATATATATATAAATATATTGTACTCACACGTCACACATATATATACTTACAAACCATATTATATTATTATATATTATATAACAAAATAAATATTTTACTAAAAATACTAATATATTAAAAATATTTATTATTTTTTTATTCTTACCCAATATTTTATAATTTACTTAAAAAAAATAAAAAATAAAAAATACTCATATTCAAATTATGATACCAAACAAACCCACCATATATGTGTTGGATAGATTTTGAGTGGGGTTTGGCGGCGTCTGGTAAGTCGGATTCGCTCCACGTTTTACAGAAAAAGCCAATCCAAGTGTATGTATGTATGTATGTCGGGCATGCACCTTTAACCCTCTCCCTCTCCCTCTCCCCTCTCTCTCTCTACGCTCCTCCGATAATTTCTTCGATATCCTGCTTGCATCGTTCTTTCCGAGCTCACTCTCAATGGAGGCGTTGTCGCTTGGGTCTTTTCGGAAGCCTTCGCTGCTGCACCACTCGCTCCCGCCCGCTCTCCCGCCCGCCAAATTTCGCATGCTAGTTACTGGTAATGTATCATTTCCGAGTAGGTTTCATTTCTACTGAACAATGAGATTCTCATTTACGGATGTATTCACTGAGCTCTGCTAGTGTTTTTTTTTTTTTTTGGTATTACTTGCTTGCTTCTGTGCGGTGTTTATGTAATTTGCTCTGGTTTCGGCGTTCTGGGGATTTTTGTGTGGCTGTTTCGTGTATGCAGCGAAATTGTACATCTTGATTTGCATCTTAGCATGAAATTCGGAGTGCTGGTTGCAATTATGTGCGTGTTTTTAGTAATGTGGACTTCTGTTGGATAAAAGTTCAGCTACTGGTGATTTGATGGTGTAATGATATGGTAGATGTCTTAATATCTTAAGATCCTTGGTTAGAAATTCGAATGTTAATACTTCGCCTTCGGTTGTGAATAATTATCAGCTATTCCTTTAATTTGTTGTTCTTTTTCAAAATAGTGCTCTACACACACACACACACACACGCTGACACACATGAACGCAAATTATGTAGTACCTGGAATTAAGAAATTTCAGTTATATTGCAGCATCAAATTTTTTAGAATGCAAAGGTCTCAGCAATGTAGAGAGACTGAATGCCAGGCAGAATTTGATGATGCACAGCCATTCCCAAATTGGTCAGAGTAATTTCATGTTAAATCCTAGGCTTAACTTCAAGTGTCTAGTTAAATCAACTCCTGGACATCCTCTTGAATCCGAACCTTCCGGAAGCCCTTGGAAGTCTGTGCAGCTTGCATTGGATGCTTTCTACAGGTTTTCACGGCCCCACACAGTTATCGGAACAGTTAGGTCTAGGAGTCTTTTGATATGTTCCTGCAATTCTCAATGTTGATTTTCTAAACAAAGGAAAAGATAACAATGTGTTTCTTGAGCAGGTATTGAGCATAATCTCAGTTTCACTCCTTGCAGTTGAGAATGTGTCAGATTTTTCTCCTGCATTCTTTTCAGGCGTGTTGGAGGTACTGGAGGACTTTCATAAGATACAATCTCAATTTGTAATCAATCGCTGATTAACTTGTACATTTCTGTTCTGTCACACAGGCCATTGTTGCTGCCTTTTTTATGAACATTTACATTGTGGGTTTAAACCAACTATGCGACATAGACATAGACAAGGTTGGCCAGCTATAAATTTCATTCTAATTCGGTCATGTTTGTGCATTTTACCTTACTGGAAAAAAACAGTGTCAAATGGCCTAGTTTGGGATTTTGGAGGAACACACATTCACTTAATGGAGATTTCAATGTATTTATTTATCAGGTGAACAAACCTTATCTTCCATTAGCATCCGGGGAATATTCGGTTCCAACTGGTGTGATGATCATTTCTTCCTTTGCCATCTTGGTGTGTAAGAAGATTGCAATTGGTCACTTACAAGTTTGTCTATTATTGATATCAAACAATTTTCTTTATATCTGGCCACAAACATTGCTCATTACAAGTGTGTATTCTCCTATTTGCAGAGTTTTTGGGTGGGAGCTATTGTTGGTTCATGGCCATTGTTTTGGGCTCTTTTCATCAGCTTCATACTTGGTACTGCTTATTCTATTAATGTAAGTCAACCTTTCTCAAATATATGATTTATGGAAAATTATGCATCAGTGTATACAATTGTTTGTACTAGGAATTGGTTAGTTAATGTTCCTTGTCCAACTTTTTAGGTGCCGTTTTTTAGGTGGAAGAGATTTGCGGTTGTTGCAGCAATGTGCATATTCGCTGTGCGAGCAGTAATTGTACAGATAGCATTTTATTTGCATGTGCAGGTGTGGTCCTTTAGCATTTTAGTTCTTGCACACCACCTCTTTCTTTACACAGAAGTCATTACATCTTTAATCATCGGAACAGAGCTTTATGTCCATATTTTTACAGGAATGACTGCTAATGTGATTTTTCATTTCCAGATGCATGTGTACAGCCGGCCTCCCGTCCTGACGAAGCCAGTGATTTTTGCAACTGCATTCATGAGCTTCTTCTCAGTTGTCATTGCATTGTTTAAGGTGAACACTTCTCTCTGCGACATTCAATTTCCCGGTTCTAACCCACAAACAACATATGTATCAAAGAACAAGAACTTTTTAAGAACATATTTACATCAGCACAATGAAATCAAAAGCCCCACTTCAATAACATAGAAACTGCATGCCTTTAGAACGCGCCGCAGCTTTCAGAGCAGAGAAATGTAGTCTTTGTCTATCCTGTTTGATGGCCTTATTAATGCCCATTCTGTTTGTTAATTGGGTTATCTTCATTTTGAATTTCAGATGTCATTTGTATTTGTAGGACATACCGGATATTGTTGGGGACAAGATATATGGAATCCAATCTTTTACTGTTCGTTTGGGCCAAGAGAGGGTCAGTTGCCAGCCACTTGATTCAACTCTTGCATATAAACAATGAGCACAATTTTTACTGAGTTGATTTTGTTGACACCATTGTTACAGGTCTTCTGGATCTGCATTTTACTTCTTGAAATTGCATATGCTGTTGCTATTTTAGTAGGAGCAGCATCCTCATCCATTTGGAGCCGATGGACAACGGTAAACCCATTCTTATCACAATTTTATTCTTCTTGTTAACAGTTGTTGCGTACACTGTTAATTTTGGAAAGCAATGAATCTAGCTGAAACCCACCCCATTTAGACTTAGCAAAATAATCCACTATTGGGTTAGATCTGAACCAGGTATTCATTGCCTTCTCTCTCTTTGCACTCATTGCAGGTTGTTGGGCACATTCTGCTGGGATTCTTGTTGTGGAGCAGCGCAAAATCGATTGACTTGAACAACAAAGCATCAATAACAGCCTTCTACATGTTCATATGGAAGGTACATGCATAAGCGCTTGGGCTATGCTCTTATGTTTTTTCTGTATGGAGTCATTGAATTATTAACCATCAAATATGGAATGCAGCAACTCTGTGACATGTTCTTGTATTTTGCAGCTCTTTTATGCCGAATACCTCCTCATTCCTCTCATTAGGTAAATAAAAATACATATATCTAAGCTGCTGAGGTAAATGGCTCTATCCCGACTTCAGTCTTTTTTAATTTACTATGGGGACTCAGTCAATTAGTGAATTCGTCAGCTGTACATTGCACATTTACATTCTCTTGAGCTATTTCCTTTCTCTGTTTTCTCAATAATCTGAAAAGGTGTAGACATTCCATCCCATAATTTGCTTTGCTACATAATAAATAATTCATTACTTCATTGTTGATTTGTGAAAATCCATGTTTCTTGGTTACCTAATTTGCATTTACATATGGTGCATTTTAATTTGACACTTGATGTTGAATTTTCTGTAATATTATGCAATCTATTTGAACGTGCAAGTTGATCTAAGTAGGATCCATCCAGTATAGCCTATAGGGGAAGCTACATGTAGATCAGGTCCGTCACAGGAGGAAAGGTGCATCGTTGCTTTGCGTTGCGGGCATTGTAAGTCTTTACAGTTTACATTATGCATAATCTCATCTATACATTTCTTGACATCATTATAGGTGTGTGTGTCCAACAAAATATTTTTATTTTTTTCCAAGATGTCAATTTAGTTTTCACATAAAAAAAAAATAAAAAAAAGAATTAGGAGTGCCGTATTGGGAAGTTTTAATTTAAATTGAGAAACCTATAGATACATGACAGAATACTTCATACTTGGGAAAATGTTCTTAACTCACTTTAATTAATATATAAATATATGTATGTATGTGTAACAAATTATATTTGTGTGCGTGTGTGTTGATGCAATGTCAGATAGTCTTTTTTTATTGATGACGTATTGTGTGTATATGTATTATTTAGTAGCAATAATGGTAGGAATACAGAATACTAGTCATCATGGTTGATGTCAATTAATAATTTACACCTTTTAATTTTATTTGCTCCTCTTTTGTCAACTTCCCCATTTATGTTCCATTTTCTTATACATTTTGGATTCAATGTTGAGTTGTTGTTGTTATTATTATTATTATTATTATTATTATTATTATTATTATTATTATTATAGGTGTGCTGTGCTGATGTTGAACAAACATGTTGAGCAGCAAATGGACAATAGAATAAAATATTTTGTGGAGCAATCTCATTTCACTTTTGAAGCATACTTCTATTTTATATTCTTTTGAACTTTGGTTTTATTTGAATTGTGGTTTGGTCTTTATATTGGATCAGAGAATTTTTCAACCAAACACTGTTCTAGTAATTTTAGTTTTTAGATAGAGTTTGTAGGTAATTCGAATTGTGTAACGCCTTTTTTAGTGCCTGCTTCGGCATGATAGTCTTGAAATGATTAAATAGATAAATAAATAAATACTCCCTCAGTCCCACGTAATTTGTCCATATTTTTTATATTTGTCCGTCTTTCATAATTTGTCCTTTTTATTTTTTGAAATATAATTATTTATTTTAATCGCATTTTAAATTTTAAATTTTATAATTTTCTTAATTTTAATTAAATTATTTATCTTAATCTTAATCTATAATTATTATTATTAAATAATAATTATTTTTATTAATATACTTCTTAATTACTTACTAATTATACTTTAAGTAATAAATAATGAAGGTAAGTGAAAGGGGGCACTTGAAAAGGCAAAATCAAATTAGTAACTCGCAATTCAATTTTTCCATGAGAAGCGTCACCATGTCGTGTGGGTTTTTGGACTTTTTGATATATATATATATATATATAATTAGAGCTAGCAATGGGTCGGGTTCGAGTCAGGTGTCAGGTAGAATATTTTAAATGGGTTAAATTAGTTAACTATAATCCGATTTGTTCAGATTGACTCGTGTTGATCCGTATACATAATTAAAGTTGAAATTCTTAATTTAAAATTGAACTTAGTTTAAATTAATTTATGAGAATTTTTTTTTACATATATAATAAATATATTAATATATTATAATCGGTTGTCTTGTTGGATTCGAGTTGAGAGTCTCAATTTTAACCCAACTCGTTTACTATCATGTCGGATTCGTGTCGACTCGTATACATAATCGGATTAAAATATTTGACAAAAATTCAATTATTTCGTGTCGGATTGTCGTGTTTTTGCCAATTTTATATATAATTGAGGCGAGATGCATTGCATAATTGTAATTTTTTATTTATTATTTATAAATAAAATGATATAATATCTTTATACAGAAAAAAATAAAATAAAATAAATAAGTGACTATGTGGAACAGTTGACTTAGTTAAGAATTTAATAAATGTAATAATGAGGCGGAAATATTGCCTTAAAACAACTGCAGGTGCATTTCCCATGACTTAAGCAGCTTTGAATTTTATAAAAAATAATTATTATAATATACAGTCAACTAATGATGAATTTATAATCACTAATAAACAATAATAATTGTGGATAAAGACATGATATATTAGTTAGGTAGTTTATTTATTTAGTACTATTATTTTTAGAAATGGGCTTTATTAATCAAAATTAGCTCCGAAATGTATAAATTGCAGTAAGTATATTTAAACATTTGAATATTCTTTGTCTAATTGTCCATGCTTATTACTCCCTCTGTCGTACGAATTTGTGCTCATTTGACCAGGTACGAGAATTAATAAAAGTGAGTAATAATTGTTACTTTTTTTTTTATAATAAAAAAAGTACAAAAATATAACAATTTTTTACTTAAAAAGGAAAATAAGAATAGTTTTCTGACAACTTAACAAAAAAAGTGAGAGTAATTAATATGAGTTTACAGTAAAAAAAAGTAAAAATAAAAAAATAAAATAAAACATAGTTCATGAAGTTTTATTTTTTATTTTTAATGATGCTAGAACTCGTAATTGCTATATATTTAGTATATTTCGGGTAAACTTTGATAGTACTTGATAACTTGCAAATTAAATTAATAAAATAAATCACATTTTTAAGTGATAGGCTAAACCAAGTAGGGTCGAAAAATTTTAACTCCATATATGGCATGGTTAATGGTTTTTCTTTTTTTTTTTTTTTTCTTAATAACGTGGTTCATGGTTGTGTGTTCTTTCTTCTGTAATTTTTTCTCACCCAAAATTGAAATAAAATAAAATAATAAATAATATTATCTTCGTCACATAATAACATATTTATTTATATTATTTTACTTTATTGTACTTAATTAATATTAAAAATATTATTATATTTGTATGATATATTATATAAATATTTTTATTTAGAAACGAATATATAATACAATAGTAATATAATATGTGTGTGTGTGTGGGCATGAAAAGGGTGGACTCGAGGGAGTGACTTACCCAAGGCCGCTTACATCTCTCTCTCTCTCTCTCTCTCTATATATATATATATATATATTAGTAGCAGGTGGTATTGTTGGTTATATAAAGCATAAGGGCTTCTTGCCCCTTACTAATAATTTCTTCGATATCTTCTTCTTCTTCTTGTCTGAATAATAATATCTAGAGAGAGAGAGGAGAGAGAGAGAGAGGATATATATATATGGCGGGGGCTATCAGTCTTGAAGAGATCAAGAACGAGACTGTTGATCTTGTATGTACACACCTACCCTCTTTTCTTTACTACCATTTCTTTCTTCCTGTCGTCACTTTATCAATCTTTTTTTTTTTATTATCGCATTACAATATTTTATTACAAGTATGTTTCTTTTGCAAAAAAATTTGAGGTTTTTACTATTTGGACTCTGCGTTTCTAAAAAAAATATATTTTTTCATCTCACAAAATATCTCATCGTACATTATTTTAATATCAAAATCAAACCAAAATTTTTCTCAACCCATCAAAAGAAACACATGTGATATTTTTAGAAAAACAGTAATGTGTTCGTTTGTGGGTTTGAATTTTTTAATAGTAAAAAGTCGAATTTAAATAGTTGTTTAATGTGATATAAACATAGGTTGATATGATATTTTGTATGTAAAATAAATTTTTAGTATAATATAAAAAAAGAAAATTAATTGTCTGATGTGATATTTTTGGAGAAAAAATAATTTGGAATAGTAAAAATTTGTGATAAAATTCACAAAAGAATACAACATAATTGGGTTTAGTTGTGAAAATTCTAACTTTAAATAGTAAAATTTTGAATTAAAATAGTTATTTGATATGATATAAAAATATATATATATATTAATGTCATATTTTGAATGTAAATTAAATTTTTTAATATAATATAATAAATAAAAATGAAGTGTTTAATTTTGTTTTTTTTTAAGATAAAAATAAATAACAAAAAACTAGTGAAAATTCTACAAAAGAACACAATTTTTGTATTTTTTAGTTGATATATTTTTTTATGTTAAATATGCTATTAAAAAAATAGTTTATATTAAATTGTTGATTTTTCTCAATTATGTAGATATATATTTGTTAATTAATAATATTAATTGAGCAGCATATCAAAAAAGTTAAGATGAAAAAACTTCTATAACTTGAGACAAGTAATTTATCTATTATTGTGAGAACTAAGTGATTGATAATATCCATTATTTATTTTGATTCTTTTGGGTGTGTTTTTCTAAGGTGGTTGGGAAAATTTGAATTTGAGTTTAATTTTTATTTGAATTTTGAGATGAGTTTGAATTTTAATATTTCTTTTTATTTAAGATTGATTGAAGTTTGAAGAGTTTTGATATGATTGATTTGACGAGTAATAAATATAATAATATAAATATGTATGATCAGTGTAATATTTGATTATGAATTTATATCATATTATACATATATATTTTTAATTATTTATTTATTTATATTATAAAAAATTTTATTTTCAACAAAATGACTTATATATATTTTATTAATATCATTGAATATAAAAATTAATTTAAAAAAACTATTTTAATATTATTTTTTTATTTTTTTTAAAAATTAGAATTAAAACTTTTATTAGCATTAATAATATAGAATTTTAAATTAAAATAGAACACATGCAAAATATATTAGTAGACAAAAGAATAAAGAAGTATATATTTTTACTAAATTCGGTATAAATATATTTTTTATATGCAAATTAAAATAGTAAATAAACATAATTTTCACAAAATAAGGGTGTATTATTATTTATCTCAAAATTATTATTGTTATTTTTTTATTTGAAATGTTATATAGAATTTATACATATATAATTATCAAAATTAAATTATGCCAAAACTAAACGAAGCAATATAAAAGACACTGATAATGGGTTTTTTTTTATTGGATATAAAAAATTATATTGGTAATATAAAATAATATTTTATATTTAAATTATTAATTCTTTTAAATGAATAAAATATATTATCTTAGTTATTTAAATTTATTCTTATTTAATCGGATAGAAAAATAAATATAATATATATATATATATATTCTTTTAATAAAGAAATTTTTATGAATATTATAATTTTTTATAATATTTATGAATAACAGGACCATAAAAAAAAAAAAGATATAGATAATGAACAAACTCAATATTATCTTAATGGATTGATATTAGTCCCGTCCAGCCGAGCCAGCACCAGCACCAGCACCAGCTTCATCCGTTTGACTATTTTCCCGCGCGGATATGAAAGACTTTTGATTTAAAAGTCAATTCAGCTCTCCAATCATTGAACTCCACGTGGCTATCAGTGCTTTAGTGTCATGCGAAAATAACATAATGCACTTTTAAAATAGATTCAAATTCATATTCGCCGTAGTATAACAAAGTATCCATTTTTTTTTTTTGTTTTAGTCAGTCTCATAACAAAGTATTCATTTTTTTTTTTTTAATAACTGTACTGTTTACCTAACATTACAAATACCCTTACAACCTATAATATATTGCACAAATGTCATTACCTTTATATCACACGTACTAATAAGGTTATTTTAGTTATTTCAACTTTATTCCTACTATATTCTAATATAATACTAATATTTCTAAAACTACGTGTAAAAAACAAATGAATATTTAGTTTCGGGACGGAGGGAGTACTTAAGTTCCGTCACACATTTTTTTTTTCATTTTTTTTATACTATATAAATTTTAATTTTTTTTTAAACAATATAATACTCCCTCCGTCCCATTGGAAGGGTGACATTCATAGATTTTTTAATATTAATATTATATTAAATTATAGTGAAAAAGACAAAAATACCCCTATTAGTATGGTGTAATATAAAAATAATGACATTTGTGTAATATATTGTAAGTTGAAATTATATTTATTATCTTAAGTAGGGTAGTATTAAGAAATGGTAACCTTATTTTGGAAGGGACGAAAATAGAAAATGGTAACCTCTCAATTGGCAGTAGGAGTATTAAATATATTTTAATGTCATGTTATCAACTATTAATTTTTTTTATTTTAATTTTTTGAAAATTAAAAAGATGTCAATTTAAACAAAAATATTTAAATAAATACCTTTTTTTCCTAATAAAAATGTCTATTCTTTTTATTTTGATTCGTTACACATAATTTATTTTTTAAAATTTAATTATATATTTTAAATTTTATAATTTATAATATATTTTAATTTTAATTAAATTATTTAATTATTTTAATGTATAATTATTTTTATTAATATATTTTTTAATTAATTTATTTATATCAATTTTCGTAAGGAAGTACTATTTAATATTAATTATTTAAAAATAAATAAATAATACAAAATAGTAAAATTGAAAAGAATCGTTACAAAAATTCCAGGTGACTAGCAAACTGTTCGAAAAGATTTTGAATGGATAGATAGATAGATAGGGCTGAAATGAATCGAATTGCTTGCGTTGTATGGATGCCGATTTCGATTTCGCTCGAAATGTTGATGAAGTATTTATTGTCAAAAATATCTCCGTGAATTTCTTTCGTGTTCCTTGTTTCAATCGATTCGACAGGAAAAGGTTCCGATCGAGGAGGTTTTCCAGCAGCTGAAATGCACTCGCGAGGGATTGAGTTCCGACGAAGGAGCCAACAGGCTTCAGATCTTCGGCCCCAACAGACTGGAAGAGAAAAAGGTCCTTCTTTCTGCTCCCGATCTTCATTTGATTATACATATATTCTGATCGATGTTTGTTTGCAATTGGATGATTTGAGCGTTTTCTTTCAGGAAAGCAAAATACTGAAATTCCTAGGGTTTATGTGGAATCCACTGTCCTGGGTGATGGAAGCTGCCGCGATTATGGCAATTGCGCTGGCCAACGGCGGCGGAAAGCCGCCGGACTGGCAGGACTTCGTCGGCATTGTTTGCTTGCTGGTTATCAACTCCACCATCAGTTTTATTGAAGAGAACAATGCTGGTAACGCTGCTGCTGCTCTCATGGCTGGTCTTGCTCCTAAAACTAAGGTTTGCTTTGTGTATATTGATGCTTATTTAGTTGATTGTTAATGTTGGATCTGGAGCTCAATTTTGTTATGGCAAACAAAACAGGTCCTCAGAAGCGGAAACTGGAGCGAACAAGAAGCTGCAATTCTGGTTCCCGGAGACATAATAAGTATTAAGCTCGGGGACATCATTCCGGCCGATGCTCGTCTTCTCGAAGGAGATCCGTTGAAGGTGGATCAATCTGCACTCACCGGAGAGTCGCTTCCGGTGACCAAAAACCCCTACGATGAGGTATTCTCCGGTTCAACTTGCAAACAAGGGGAGATAGAGGCGGTTGTGATCGCCACGGGCGTCCACACTTTCTTTGGAAAAGCAGCACATCTTGTGGACAGCACAAATCAGGTCGGGCACTTCCAGAAAGTGCTCACTGCCATCGGGAACTTCTGCATCTGCTCCATTGCGGTCGGGATGCTGGCCGAGATCATTGTGATGTATCCAATTCAGCACAGGAAATACAGGCAGGGCATCGACAATCTCCTTGTTCTCTTAATAGGAGGCATTCCTATTGCCATGCCAACTGTTTTGTCGGTGACCATGGCAATTGGATCGCACAAGCTATCGCAGCAAGGCGCCATCACCAAGAGAATGACTGCCATAGAGGAAATGGCGGGCATGGATGTTCTGTGCAGTGATAAGACTGGAACTTTGACGCTCAACAAGTTAACGGTCGATAAAGCCTTGATTGAGGTCTTTGCAAAGGGCATCGATAAGGACCACGTGCTGCTTCTTGCTGCAAGAGCCTCCAGAACTGAAAATCAAGATGCCATTGATGCTGCCATTGTGGGCACCCTTGCTGATCCTAAAGAGGTACATTTCATTTCATGTGTTTCATCCTGCCCTGTCTCGGATAATGATAAATTGATAATATCTATGGGATAAAGATCTGGTTATGACATATACGGAATTCGATTCTTAGGCTAGAGCAGGTATTAGAGAGGTGCATTTCTTCCCATTCAATCCTGTGGACAAGAGGACCGCTTTAACGTACATTGATTCCGATGGGAACTGGCATCGAGCCAGCAAGGGAGCCCCTGAACAGATCTTGACTCTCTGCAACTGCAAGGAAGATTTCAAGAGAAAAGTTCATTCTGTCATCGACAAATTTGCTGAGCGCGGGCTCCGGTCATTAGCAGTTGGAAGACAGGTATACCTTGAACTCTGTTTTGAATCTGTCGATATTTCCTCAGGACATTCATTCCAGTGCTTCTCCTCTGTCAAATATTATACCTTCAGGAAGTGCCGGAGAAATCTAAGGAGAGCCCTGGAGGTCCATGGCAGTTTGTTGGACTCTTGTCACTCTTTGATCCTCCGAGACATGATAGTGGAGAAACCATCCGCAGGGCGCTCAATCTTGGTGTGAATGTCAAAATGATAACCGGTGGGCAAAATGCTTATAATTTCCAATTCACAGTCTTCTTCATTATTGTGATTCACTGATCGAAATTATCTTTAGGTGATCAACTTGCCATTGCTAAGGAGACCGGGCGTAGACTTGGGATGGGGGTGAATATGTACCCATCTGCTTCTTTACTCGGCCAACACAAAGATGAGTCTATAGCTGGCCTCCCTGTCGAAGAATTGATCGAGAAGGCAGATGGTTTCGCAGGGGTCTTCCCAGGTAGGAGTAGTTTCATTTCTCGACATCTTACAGAGAGAAAAAAGGACTATAAGTGATTCTTGTTTTCGTCAATGGCTCAATGCAGAGCACAAATACGAAATCGTGAAGAAGCTGCAGGAGAGAAAGCACATTGTTGGGATGACGGGCGATGGAGTTAACGATGCTCCTGCTCTGAAGAAGGCCGACATTGGTATTGCAGTTGCTGATGCTACAGATGCTGCAAGAAGCGCTTCTGACATTGTTCTAACCGAGCCTGGTCTTAGCGTCATTATCAGCGCAGTCCTGACGAGCCGAGCCATTTTCCAAAGAATGAAGAATTATACAGTTAGCTTCTGCTTCTCTTCTCCTTAGTTCAAATCTGCTGACATGTTTTGGTGGATGAAAAAGATAAACAAACATCTTCTTGTCTCTTCTTTTTTCAGATATACGCCGTCTCCATCACCATCCGTATTGTGGTAAGCTGGTTATCCATCAAGGCAATACTTTCGACAGTTTGTAGCTGTATACACACTAAGTGACCCGATCCGATCCTATGTTTTCTTTTGCACTTTGGACTTGCAGTTAGGCTTCATGCTTATTGCCTTGATCTGGAAGTTCGACTTCTCTCCATTCATGGTTTTGATCATCGCCATCCTCAATGATGGTAATGCATTAGTATACAAATTATCTCCAGGCTAAGATATAGCGATGATGAATCGGGGGTTGTAAACAAACTTCATCTGTGCAGGTACCATTATGACCATATCAAAGGACAGGGTGAAGCCATCTCCATTGCCTGATAGCTGGAAGTTGAAAGAGATTTTTGCGACTGGCGTAGTAATCGGAACCTATCTTGCAGTGATGACTGTTATATTCTTCTGGTTGATGCACAAAACAAACTTCTTTCCGGTAACTGACTGACTATCTATCATCTAATACAGACTACAAATGCATCTCCTTCCTTCCTTCCTTCCTCACAAGCAATCAATCCAATCCAATCTAATCCAATACAATCATCTGAGTATTTGATCTGATCTTACTGCTTTCTTTTCCTTTTTCAGGATAAATTTGGAGTGAGAAACATCAGAGACAGTGAGGAGGAAATGATGGCTGCTCTATACTTGCAAGTGAGCATCATCAGCCAGGCCCTTATCTTCGTGACGAGGTCCCGGAGCTGGTCGTATGCGGAACGCCCTGGAATGCTGCTCATGACTGCTTTTCTCATTGCTCAACTGGTAATTCAAATCATATCAAATCAAAATCCATTCCTCATTTTGTTTCCAGATCATCGATCATCATCATAATTCATAAACCAGGTTGCCACACTGATTGCTGTGTATGCCAACTGGGGGTTTGCAAGAATCAAGGGATGCGGATGGGGATGGGCGGGGTTGATCTGGCTATACAACATCGTCTTCTACGTCCCCCTGGATCCCATCAAATTCGCCACACGCTACATCTTGAGTGGAAAGGCCTGGCAGAATCTGTATGACAACAAGACTGCTTTCACAACCAAGAAAGATTTCGGGAGAGAGGAAAGGGAAGCGCAATGGGCTCATGCACAGAGGACCCTCCATGGCCTCAAAACACCAGAAGCAAGCAATATCTTCAGCGAGAAGAGCAACTATAGGGAACTCTCCGAAATAGCTGAACAGGCCAAGAGACGAGCTGAGATTGCCAGGCTCCGGGAGCTGCATACCCTCAAAGGTCACGTCGAGTCTGTCGTCAAGCTTAAAGGCCTCGACATCGACGCAATCCAGCAGCATTACACTGTCTGAATCCTGTTGGCCTCTGGAACTGGAACCCTAAACCCTAAGCTACTCTCTATTCTATTTATATGAGATGAGACATACAGCAGGAGGAGAGCACTGAGCAGGGAAGGGAAGGGACGGGAAGGGAAGAGCCCTTTTCCTTTCTTTCTTTCTTTTTTTTTCTTTTTTTTTTTTTGGGTGTCTTTTTGTGTTCTCATCATGCCGATGTATCATCGTTAAAGAAAAATTGGGGAATCTGACGACGTCGTCTGGCTACTTATTGATAAAAGATATCTTTGGGTTGTAGTAAAGTAATGTCTATAAAAATGATGATGTATGTGTTCGTTAGTATTATAAATGAATTCCTAGTTGAGTTTGAGTTGGAGCTGAGGCGATGGAGACATTTATTTATTTATTCGTAGTAGTAGTAGTATTTTAGTATTTTATCTTTCAGTGTATTTGAATTTTGAATTGACCCTTGTGATTTCCTATTTTTTTTAATTGACCCTTTTTAGAGCAGAAACCCTAATTGCAGTTGCAGCGGCGTTTAGGGTCTCAACAAGAAACAGCTAATGGGGGGAGAGGCCAGAGAGCCGAAGCCTCTGCATCCAATATTGGCGTCGGCCGTCGGTCCGGCGTTGATCAAGCACTTGGCGTCGTGCAACGCCACCGTCAGATCTCAATCCCTGCGGCTCCTGCAGTCATGGCTGGTCTCGGAGTCGTCGCCGTCGCTGTCGCCGCCGCAGCTTTCGGACGGCGACATGAAGAGGATCTGGAAGGGACTCTTCTACTGCCTATGGCACTCCGACAAGACGCCCAATCAGGTAGCCCTAATCGATCGACTCACCTCTCTGTTTCTGTCGCTTCCGCCGTCGCTTTCCTTGGATTATTTCCGTGGGTTCCTGGTCACGCTTCGCCGGGAGTGGCCCGGCATTGATAGGCTTAGGTTGGATAAATTCTATCTGACGATACGGCGGTTTATGAGGGCGTTGTTTGAATTGATGAGGTTGAGGAACTGGAAATCGAATGTTTTGGGGGAGTATTTTAGGGTTTTGGAATTCGATGGGTTCCTGGCAGAGGATAAGCTGCAGGGGAGTGGTGTGAATTACCACATTGTGTCTGTGTTTCTGGAGGAGCTGAAGGGGGTAGGTTTTCCGGCGACGGCGGAGGTTGTGGACGTGATTCTGAAGCCCTTTCTTGAGGTGATGATGAGAGGGAAGGATAAGATTCTGGTAGGGAAGGTGAAGAGCTGTGTATTCGATGAGCTGGCGAATGCCGGGAAGGATTTGCTCGAGAAGAAGAAGATGGGAGTGGACTGTGATGAGAATGTGTTCCTGCTGGGAGTGGTTGCTTTGAGAATGGGATTGGCGGGGAGGTTGTACCAGGTTGGTTCGTCGACAAACTGCATTCAGGGGAATCGGAAGGTGGTATTCGCGTTGCATGATGTGTTTCTGAAACTGGAGAAGGAGTTGGAAACCTCTGGCTTTGAAATTGGTGTGCCCGAATACTGTAATGTGAGTGATGATGCAGGTGATGAGGTGCCGCCCCAGTTAATCCCAATTGATTTTGGTGCCGGTGAAGGGCGCAGTGGGGTGGATGACCCGGAGGAGGAGGCGTTGAGGAAGTGTAAGAAAGTGAAGAGGGAGAAAGATGGGGATGACAAGAAGAGGAAGAAGAACAAGAAGAAGAAAGAAAAGAATGTTGAAGCACATTCTGAAGTTAGCAAAGAAAATGGCGTTGGAGTCGACAATGGCTGTGACGATGATCCGGTTGACGATCACGAAAGCAATGGGATTGATGAAAGTATGATATCCAACCTGCAGAGACAGTTTGAGAAAGTTGCCACAGAGATGGAATCTGAAAGAGCACGCAGCAAGAGGAAGAGAAGGACAGAAAAACAGAAACAGAAACTGAAAGAGAAAGCGAGTGATGTTGGCTCGGAGAGCGTGGGGAAAAGCAGCAGCAGCAGCGCAGCAAAGAAAGTGAGGTTCTCGATGAAGAACAATTTGGTTTGGAAACCGCAGAATCCATTGCCACCGGAGAGTTTGAGGTTGCCGCCGTCTGTTACGCCGCGGGGGAGCGCCCTGAAGAAGGGTGTCCCACCAGGGCCGGTTGTAGAAATTCCGAAGAAGATAAAAACGAAGAAGAAAAAGGTGGTGAGCCAGTTGAAGAGTGCCAAACTTTTGGTGAAGCGCCGCCTCAAGTGATAATAGGTGCTGCTAAGCTAAGCTAAGCTAAGGTACAAACAAACAAACAATATATCCTTGCTTGTTCCATTTTTGTTTCTTTCTTTCTTTCTTGATTTTATTGACTGGCTGGCTGTCTTTGACAACAAACAATATGATATATATATATATGTATTGATTGGATGGATGATCTTGTTCCATGTTTGTTTGTGTTCTTGATTGCTTTGAAATGAAATGACATTCATTCATTGGTGTTTGGACATGTATGTATGTATGTATAGTGTAGTGTTGAATGGTGCCTGATTGATTTCATGAATGCTTGATTGACTTGGACTTACTTGAAGATAGATGTTTTGTTTCTCCTGTTCCTGATTTATTTTTTCATTTTAAATTGTAGTAATATTGGATCCGCATGAGCTAATATTTTTTTTTTTTTTTTTTCAAAGCTAAGATACATATTTGACTTGGCTTGATTGAGCTTTGTATTCATATATTAAAGTATATATCTTTTATTATTTACTTTTCTGCCAAGGTTGGCGGATACAGTGCAATATATATATATATATTTTTTTATTATAGATTGTGCTAAAATAAATAATAGATTGTATAAATTGTCTTAAAATAAATTACAGATTGTGTTGCCTTTATTATAGATTAGATTGTGCTAAAAAAGTTATAGAGCATATAAATAAATTATAGATTGTGCCAAAATTATCTTTGACTATATTGTTACAATTATATATTGTAAAATTATCTTTGACTATATTGTTACAATTATATATTGTGTTGAAATTAATTATAAATTGTGTTGAAATAAGCTATAACTTGTGTTTTATGTGCTGTAACTATTTATTAGAGACAACCAAGAAATTCAAACATGGATATTTCTACCTTTTTTTTTCCTTTTTTTTTCCAATGACTTTTCCTTTCGGCCACGTCAACAGATCGAACAAAGAAATCTATCTAATTTTATTTTATTTTTTTATTTCCACATCATTATATATTATATTTTTTGTTAAATCAAACTTTTTTTTTTTTTTTTTCTTTATCAAATTTATAATTAATCAATAATAAATTAAAACGTGCTTCATCCATTTAAACTATTTATTTGATTTTTTAGTTATTTTTATTGAAAAAAAAATAAAAAGTTGACTTTGACAAACTAAAACTACAATGAAAATATTTACTTTTGGACAGAGGAATTATTTTGTAATAATTAATTTTAAAATCACTCTATTGTATAATTTAATTTTATTAAAAAATAAAAAAAATATATTGACATTTATTTTTTTTATAAAATAAAATTATTTAATTTGACTTTTAAATTGTAATAATTAATTTTTAAATAATTAACTTATTAATAATATATATATATTTACAAAATAAAAAGATTTATTTGACGTTAGAAATAATATAATAAAATTTAAAAAAAAAATAAAATACTATATTTTACATATTTTACTTTGGGTTGTTTAATTACAATGTAATTATTTAGTTAAATGTCCTACTTTTTTTTTTTTTTTTTTTTATATTCCTATTTTACTATCACATTATTATTTGGATAAAAAAATAAAGACAAAATTATCTTTTTATTATTTTTAATTATTCACTATAATTAAAATATTACTCCCTCCGTCCAATTTCTACTGTCCTAAAGTATATTTGCACAGCTTTTTTAGGTGAATGTCCTTTTGTTATGAATTGACAAATTTGATCTTAATTGTACGGTAGAGATTAAAAATAATAAATGAATGAAGGGTAAAAATATAAAATTTATGTTTAAAAAATGAAATAGGACAATAGTTGTTGGACGTTCCAAATAGAAAAGTAGGACATTAGTTTGTGGACAGAGAAGTATTATTTTTTAAATTTTACACTAAAAAATAATTGTATACTTTGTCGTCGGACAGAGGGAAGTATTTAATATTTTTATATTATTTAGTATCATTTGCTTTAATTTAATTTTCTAATTTTTATTATTGAAAGTATTATTTATATTTTATATTTTTATTATTATGCTTATTATTTATTAATTAGTAAAACTAAATATAGAGATAATAATTAATCTTTCTTAAAAGGAACAATACATTACAAATACAATATAATATTTAATACTAAAATAAAAATAAATTAATTAAAATTATTTATCGAATCAAACTTTTGTCTCTTAACCAAATCTAATTTTAGTTATTCATGTGTTCTCCTGTTTTGAAGCTTCATTTGATTTTTTGCAAATCTAGTTATTCTGGTACGTCGTCTATCAGCAAATATGACTAATTTATATTACTAATATTATTTACCTCCATTTGTTCGAATTGAAATATATCATAATAATGCATATATATATTTCATTTTTAACGATCATATTATGTAATATCATGTACGTCTTTATTATCTTATCAATGAAATCAATATTCCAAATGAGTAATGAATATCAAATAATAGCAAATCAAGTTTGTAAAACAACAAAAACACATTCTATATTTTTTCGAGCGGCTTCTTGACGTTGTACAAGTAATTGCATCTTAGGTTCTTGAGGTAGATGAATAGATTGGATAAACGTCGCCCATAAAGGATATATTTCATCCGTAAGATAATGCCCCATTTTATATTGATTACCCATTTTCAATAAAATTCACTTCTGGACTTTTATCATTAAAAAAATCATTAAAATTCGGAGATTGATCAAGTACATTAATATCATTGCGTGTATCTGGTCCAATGAAAAAAGAATGTCAAAATTCATGGATCATACAATATCACGGCTTCTAATGCAATCGTTAGTTTGACATGGTCTCTTCGAAAAAATTATCTTTTCTAAGCAGTTGGACAATTTTTTCACTCTGAGTGCCTACAATTAATACTTCTCACTATTCCAAGAAATTCATGTTCCTCCGCAACATACAAAAATCGTTGTAGGTTTGTTGCATTTGGTTCTTCACCAAATATTGAAATGACTCATCCAATAAAATCTTTTACACATTCTTGTTGTACTCTCTCAAATACGAATGTAGTCATCTACAATATCATCAACGATACCAAAAGCCAATATACGCAAAGCAACCGTGCGTTTTTGTAATGATGATCAACCAAATCTCCGTGTCGCATATTGACATTGTTGGAAAAAACTCACTTTCTGTTGTAAAGCGATCCACAATACGTAAAAAAACATGTCTCATCATTTGAAATTTACGATAAAATTGAAAATCTATATACACATGATTTTCAAAAAAATAATCATTCAAACAATCCATTACGATATTTTTCACTATTCCTCTTGATGTATGTTATTTAAGGATATAAATGTTCCTCTTTATTGTTTATGATAATATCTTGAAGACATTGGAATTGCATCCATAAATTGAAAAAAAAAAAAATTGCATCCTCTTAGAGCCTGAATTGGAATAAGTTTGAAATGAATTCGACATTTTTGTAAGAAAATTGTTTGATTGATGTAGAAATGTTTTAGAAATATAAAACAATTTTGTGTATTGAAATGTAATGTAAAAAAGTAAATTATTTATATTATAATAATTGTGTAAAAAAAATATGTGAATAAATAGTACCATAATAAAATTATTAATAAATAAAATATGAGAATAAGTAGTACAATAATAAAAAAAAAGCAAATATCATTAATTAATTTTAAAAAATTGATTACGACTACACATAACACAACTACAGTAATGTGATATATCAAAATATTTAATAAATTTCAAGAAGACAAAAATTGACAAGATTGATCACTACTATATAGAGACACAAGTAAATTGATGTGATATAACATTAAATTCAATAAATTTTAACAAGTCAACTTGGCAAGATTTATCACTTAATGAAATTGATGTGATCTAGCAATATAATAGTGTCCAAAATATAATATACATATATAATATAATAATATATAATTTATAGAATTTAGTATTTTTCCTAGAAATAAGCTTGCACTTGGCAAATAAAATACACTAATTTTACTTTATAACTAAAATCTCAATAATCTTCAAGTTCACAAAAGCATTTTTCATTTCAAGGTTTCACAAACATGCTTGTAAATAAAACAATGTTCAAACAATTTTCTCAATCCTAGTGTTCTTTAAAATTTTCAAACTCCTAACCTAGGCTCCGTTTTAACAGTAATTTTCAAACTCCTAACCTAGGCTCCGTTTTGACAGTGATTTTTGGAGACTTTTGAAATTTTGAAAATTGGGAAAAAAAAAAGTATAAACAGTGTCAAATGAGTAAAATTTTATTATGTAAATAAAGCGCAAATTTCTACACTCCATGTGATACCCGAGTTTCTCACTACTTATTGGTCAATACATATTTTACATTTTAGGTGCTGATAAATTACTTTATTGTTAAATTATTTATAATTTGGTATATGCTTTACCTATTTATTAATAATAAAATATTATCATAATTTATTTGAGATTCTAATAGAATACAAATAAGTTAGATAAATTATTTGAATATTAGTGGTGTAAGTTAAATGAAAACCGCTTGAAAATTTATTATATTAATTAAATAAAAATTAAAATAAATAAAATAACTAAATAAATAAATAAATAAAATAATAATTATGAAAATAATAATAATAATAATAATAATAATAATAATAAATAAGGCGGTGGGGGCAGGTAATAATCCCCACCCCCACCTCAACCAAATCAATCCTTTTCACAATTGCAGAAGAGAGATATAGGCAACGCGAAAGAAAAAAAAAAAAACTTTTTACGTCGACCTCGTTAAGAGTCTAGTTCAGGTATTTTTTCGTATTCACAAATTATTGCTATTTTACTAAGTAGAGGAAGTTTTGAGCATAAATAATTATTTAGTAAATTGGGGTAATATTTATAATTAATTGTTTTTAGATACGATACTGGAATCGAAAAAAGGGCTTTAAGAGTTAGAGTTATTAACGTTTTTGACGAATTTCAGGTAAGTAGAAATTCATTTGCAACTATAATGCATAAATATATTATTTTGTGAGTTATTTATATTTGATTGATAATATGTGAATATCAGAAAACTGTAATATGTGATTAATATTCTATGATTATGTGATTCGAGCCTGCGAGCTCTGTATATAAATTGGTTTCAGCCTGTGAGCTTTGTATGTGATATGGTTGAGCCTGTGAACTCTGTATTTGATGTTGAAGGAGTCTGTGAGCTCCAAAATTGATGTGG